CGTTCTGGGGGTGGAGCGCCACATGGAGCCCAGCATGGAGCCAGGTTGGGTTCTGTGCTGACAGTGCAGAGCTTGCTTGGGATTCTCTCTCTCTGTTCCTCTCTTGTCCGTGCACTTGCGCTCTCGCTCTCTCTCTCTCTCTCTCTCAAAATAAATTAAAAAAAAAAAAAAAGCTTAGAAAAAAACAAAACAAAGGTTCATACCACAAGCGAAACTTGCAGGAAGTAGCCAGGAAATTAATTATCCAGCCCTCCCTGTCACCAATCCTGTGCATGGGTGTTGGCCCACACCTAAGTGGAAAGTGGAAACCAGAGAGCAAAGGAGCCAATGGACTTAGTCTCCACAGGTTCGGTGTACTAGGCAGACAGTAGGTGGACAGTGGTTCCAAAAGCCAAACAGAAGGTATCCAGCACACAAACCCAACTCAAAGGATGATTTTCTCAACATTGGTTTAAAAATTATTTTTATTTTTAATTTTTTAATTTAATTTAATTTATTTATTTATTTTAAAATTTATTTATTTCTAGGAGAGAGAGAGAGACAGCGTGAGCAGGGGAGGGTCAGAGAGAGAGGGAGACACAGACTCTGAAACAGGCTCCAGGCTCTGAGCTGGCGGTCAGCACAGAGCCCGACGCGGGGCCCGAACCCACGAACCACGAGATCATGACCTAAGGGAAAGTCGGACGCTCAACCGACTAAGCCACCCAGGCGCCCCTAATTTTTTTATTTTAGAGAGAGGTAAGCAGGGGAGAGGGGCACAAGGAGAGAGAGAGAAAGAGAGAATCTCAAGCAGGCTCCACACTTGGAGCATGAAGCCTGATGTGAGGTTTGATCCCACAACCCTGAGATCCGGACCTGAGCTGAAATCAAGTTGGACGTTCAACCAACTGAGCCACCCAGATGCCCTTTTTCAATTTTATTTTTTAGTAATCTCTACACCCAACCTGGGGCTCGAACCCACAACCCTGAAGATCTAGAGTTACATGCTTCACTGGCTGAGCCAGCCAGCTGCCCCTCTCAACATCTTTAGGTAGCTAGGAGTGCCTATTCTAAGCTTCCCTTTAACATAGTACTTAATGCTGTATTGCAATCCTGGCTGCACCTTAGAATCACCTGGGGAGTTTTTAAAAAATATTGATGTCTAGGGGCGCCTGGGTGGCTTAGTCGGTTAAGCGTCCGACTTTCGCTTAGGTCATGATCTCGCGGTTCGTGGGTTCGAGCCCCGCGTCGGGCTCTGTGCTGACTGCCGGCTCAGAGCCTGGAGCCTGTTTCAGTCTGTGACTCCCTCTCTCTCTGACCCTCCCCTGCTCACGCTGTCTCTCTCTCCTGGAAATAAATAAAACATTAAAAAAAAAAATATTGATGTCTAGTCCCATTCCAGATCAGTTGAGTCAGAAAGTCTGGGAATAGGTCCTCAACATTAGTGCTTTTTAAACATCCTCCAGGTGATTCTAAGATGCAGCCAGGATTGAGAACCACTGCTGTGTTGTCATTGCCTACCTACCTGTGTTTCCTTGAGGAGTGTCTCAGTGCTTTGAGGGTAAGATCATGTCTTTAACATGCAGCATGGAATCTGATACAGAGCAGGTGCTCAGGACATGAAAGTTCACATTACAGAGTGTGATTGACTTCACATTTTGTGTAATTTTGTTAGGATTGTGGTATATATATCGCCTACGGTATTGTTTTCAATCTGCAAGTTGCAGACCATTAATAGGTCATAGACCAGCATGGGGGAAGAAAAGGAATTGAATAGAAATATAAGAGTAGGTGACATATAGTAAGGGTTAGTGTAGTATTGTGAAACAGGTATGCGCGATCCAGATTGCAACATAAACTGTTTCTACTGTGAATTGCATTCACAATTCTTGAAATCCAGCGACCTAGGACAAGTAATCTCTCTGTACTTCTGTTTCCCTACCTTTAAAAAAAATTTTCTTTTTACATTTATTTATTTTTGAGAGACAGAGTGAGACAGAGTGTGAGTGGGGGCGGGGCAGAGGGAAAAGTACAGAATCTGAAGCAGGCTCCAGGCTCTGAGCAAGCGTTCAGCACAGAACCCGATGCAGGACTCAAACCCACAAACCATGAGATCATGGCCTGAGCTGAAGTCAGATGCTCAACCGACTGAGCCACCCAGCCACCCCTCCCTATCTTTTAAAATATGGATAATAATAGTACCCCCTACCTCATGGGACTGTAATGAAGATTAAGCCAAGTAATACGTGCCAAGTGCTTGGTGTTTAGCACAGTATACATAATCAACAGTACCTGTTTTATTGTTCAACAACAAAAACATTTTTTAAAAGCAAAATATAAAATTTTAGTGGTGCCTGGGTGGCTCAGTCAGTTGACTGCCCGACTCTTGGTTTCAGCTAAGGTTATGATCTTGTGGTTGGTGAGTTTTAGCCCTGCAATCAAGGCTTTGTGCGGACAGCGCTGAGTCTGCTTGGGATTCTCGCTTTCTCCCTGTCTCACTGCGCCTTCTGAGCTTGTGCTCACTGTCTTTCTCTCTCAAAAACAAATAAATAAACTTTAAAAAAAACTTTAATAAGTAAATAAATAAATATTTAATATATAAATTAAAATTAAATATTTATTTAATATAAAATCTATTTAATATAAAAATTTAATATAAAAATTAAATATTTATTTAATAAATAAAATTTTATTTATTCTGCAATTACTGCTGTATAATATTAGGCATACAGACAGATAAGAGCTCTTTTTCTTAAATCCGTTACTGGAAAATGCTATGGCAATAAATAACCTTAACAAATAGGAAGCTATATACCCAACCTCTCCTTTTCTTGAGGTCAGGAATGCTGTGGGGCCTGACTAGGGTAGCGGAGGTGCTGCCTTAGATTCTATCTGAAGCTATGTCCTATTAATATCTCTACTACTTCTGACTGGTGCTCACAGGCTATCTCTGCACCTGCTCTTGGAAAATTAGCACAGCTCTGTTTAAAGGCCCTGGGAGTAGGTTCTAAGCAGGGCTTATTTATTTGTATATCCAAAGCACTTAACACCATACCTGGTACTCAATAAATAGGCTAAGCTATTGATAACTGTTTTGTGACCTTGATCAAGTCACACACTCTGGACTAGAGTTTCCTGTGTATAAAATGAGAGATTGAATGGAAATTGGAGGTAAAAGGAACCTCTAATTTTAGAAGTAAGGAAGCTAAGACTCAACTAGGGGAAGGGACTTATGCAAGTTCACATGACAAGTTGGTAGGGATGCAGAGGTTATAGCTGAAGTTCCTCAGTTCCATGGTAGAGCACTTTCTATGGTATTGTATTGTCAATCCAATTGTAAAATCCTAGCATGCAGTTAGAGTCAACAAACGAAAGTTACACATAGCAGCAGGGGTAGATCTTGAAAAATATACTGTGTTATGCAAAAGTAAGATACACAGCGAGATACATAATCGAATACCATTTACATAAATGTAAAATGTGTGAGCACAATATGAAAACGGACATTTTTGGGGGCACCTGGATGGCTCAGTTGGTTAAGTGTCTGACTTCGGCTCAGATCATGATCTCATGGTTCATGGGTTCGAGCCCTGTGTCAGGCTCTGTGCTGACAGCTTGCTCAGAGCCTGGAGGCTGCTTCAGATTCTGTGTCTCCCTCTCTCTCTGCCCCTCCCCCACTCATGCTCTCTCTCAAAAATAAATAAACATTTTTTCAAAAAATTAAAAAAAAAACAGAAAAGACACATTTTATAAGAACAATATAAAGCAGTTGCACAATCAACACTTTAAAGAGTTACCTGCAGGGGTGGGGAGAGGAAAGGGGGTAAAAGAGAATCAATAGGGGCATCTGGCTGGCTCAGCTCATAGAGCATGCAATTCTTGATCCTGGGGTCATGAATTCAAGCCCTGTGTTGGGTGTAGAGATTACGTTTAAAAAAAGAGAATAAATGAATGAATGAATAAATAAATAAAACAAGAGATAGGCCTTCAAAAGAAGAGAACGGAGGGGCGCCTGGGTGGCATAGTCGGTTAAGCGTCCGACTTTCGCTTAGGTCATGGTCTCGTGGTTCGTGGGTTCGAGCCCCGCGTCGGGCTCTGTGCTGACTGCCAGCTCAGAGCCTGGAGCCTGTTTCAGTCTGTGACTCCCTCTCTCTCTGACCCTCCCCTGCTCACGCTGTCTCTCTCTCTCTCTCCTAGAAATAAATAAAAAAATATTAAAAAAAACAAAAACAAAAACAAAAACCAAACAAAAGAAGAGAACGGAGTAATATGTTTAATTATCTGCACTTAAAGTTTAAAAATAAAATAGGGTTGCCTGGATGGCTCAGTCAGTTAAGTGTCAGATTCTTGGTTTCTGCTCAGGACATGATCTCATGGTTTGTGCGTCTGAGCCTTGCATTGGGCTCTGTGCTGACAGTGTAGAGCCTGCTTGAGATTCTCTCTCTCCCTGTCTCTCTGCCCATACCCCACTCATGCTTGCTTTCTCTCTTTCTCTCTCTCTCAAAAATAAATAAATAAACTTAAATAAAATAAAATACAATGATCTCTATCTTTTTGGGAATTTTATTTCTAGCAGCATATGTAAAATGGAAAGCAGATAGGTGTTGTTGATTTCTTTCTTTTTTCTAACATTTATTTTATTTTTGAGAGACAGAGTGTGAGCTGTCAGCACAGAGCCCAACGTGGGCCTTGACCTTATTAACTGTAAGATCATGACCTGAGCTGAAGTCAGATGCTTAACCTACTGAGCCACCCAGGCTCTTTTTTTTTTTTTTTTTTTTTTTGAGAGTGAGAGACAGAGCGGGCAGAAGAGCTAGGGAGAGGGGCAGAGAGGTATAGAGAAAGAGAAAGAATCTTAAGCAGGCTTCATGCTCAGCATGGAGCCCAATGCTGGGCTCAATCCCACAACCCGGGGATCATGACTTGAACCGAACAAAATCAAGAGTTGGACACTCAACCAACTGAGCCACCCACGTACCCAGGTGTCATTGATTTCTAAAAAATTCCCTTCCTCTCCTTACCCTCTATCCTCTAGGCTTCAGCATCTTTCATTCGGACTCCTGGAGCAGGTTTCTTCTTGGTCTCCCTGCCTCCACTCTCTCCCCATCCAATCCAATGCAATTTTCCACAGAGACCAGAATAATTGTTCTCACACAAAAATCTGATCATGGTTCTCCTTTGTTTAAATACTCTTCAGTGACAGCTTGTGACCAAACAATATGTCTTTTTCTATGTAGCTTCTTTCACTCATCATAGGTCATTTGGTTATCCGTTCTGTTACATTATGAGTTTTCTGAGGAAAGAGACAGTGTTTTATTAATCTCTAAATCTTCAATACCTAGCCCAGGGTCTGGCACTTGGTGGGAGCCCAGTGAATATTTGAGGAATGAACGGATGCATGATTCCCCTGAGACTTTGTAATTAAACTGGCCATTTCCCCATCGTCAGTGGGGCCCCAGCTTCAGATCCCTGGGTGATGCAGGTGAGTTGCTAGGCAACAGCATGAGGTTGGCTCTGGGGTCACAGTGGAGAGTGTGCAATGGAGGCCGAGGCTGAGGTAATTAAAAACACTTCTATTCAGCAGCCTCTGAACTGCCTCTGGTTTTGCCCCCCAGCCCATCCCCCACACAGCTGCAGGAGGGATCTTTCTAAAACAAGCACAGACCATAGCACTCCCCTATTCCAAAATCTCTGGGCTCTCAGTTGAGGAAACTAAGGTTCAGAGATTTGAAATAACTTGCCCAATGTCCACATAACAAGTAAAGTGCAGAGCTAAACCTAGGTTTTTCTGATTCAAAAACCCAAGACCTTTCCAGTATTTTGATTTTGGATGAAGTGAATTTGGGGTGTCCACAGGTCATCAGGTGGAGAGATCCAGGAGTCCATGGGTAACATTGCTGCCCTTCCTATCAAACCCTTCCATGGAGTAGGTGCTTCAGCAACAAACAAAACGTATAAGGCTGGGAGACCAGTTCCCTGTGAGAAAAGGGATAATCTTGAAGGTTTCATCCACTTTCATATATGGAGTTTCAATTAGTGGGCTTTGATCCAGAGAGCAGCAACATCAAAACTCTAGAGTCTGTCTCCTGACTTCACTGATCCCAGAAAGGCAAAACAGAGTAGTAAGCACTTGACTCAGACTGGAAGAACAGGGGGGAGTTGTCAGCAAAGGATTCTAGGACAAAGGGACATTTTGAACAATGAGTAGAAAACCAGGTAAAGATAAGGGGAATGTGATAGGGATAGTTCACCTTCCTGGGTGAAATTATATAGTTCTTTCAGGTATTCATTCAATCATTCATTCCACAAATATTTCTTGGTTGAGCCACGTACCCTATACTTCAACCACACTGAATTTCTCACTGTTCCTTACACAATAAACAAAAGCTCTATCCTTCTCTAATATTTGCATACACACATAGTTCTATGGGAAATCATGTCAGTAAGTCTTAGTCTAGATGAAGGAAGGAGAAAGAGCATGTGAAAGAAGGTTTCCAGGAGAAAGTATCTTCCAGACACCAGAAAGATGTGTGGGGTGAACCAGTTCAGGAAAGGGGAGCTTAACTGGTCTAATTAGGGGGACAATATGTGTAAAACCTCAGAGGCAAGACACCACGGTGCATTTAGACTAAAAGGAGCTTCTCATGGCATATTGCTGGACATTCTTCTTTTCTGCTCAGACATGTCCCTTGTCCTTATGGAGCTGCTCCCAATTGTCCCAAGGAGACTTGCAGCCTTTCCTATTTCCTGAAGACTTACAATGTCTTTTTTTTTTTTTTTAGAGGATTCATTACTTTATATTATCATTTATCTAGATTGTAATATTTTGTTTATTCTCCTAAAGACCATAAGTTCCTTTAAAGCAGGAAACTATGTCTGATTCTGGTTTGTGACAGCAACTAGCAAACAGTGGCAATTAGTAAGTGTTGTTGAATGACTGAAGAAATTAAACTCTTTATGTCTTTTTTCCCTACTAAACTACGTGCTGCTCAGGGGCAGGGATCCTATCTAATAACATCTCTAAGAACTCTCTAGCTTTTGAGTATAGTGAAGAGTCCACAGGCTTTCAGGGACAGGCAAGGGGCAAATATGAGTTGAATCAGGTATTAGCTATATGACCTTAATCTTCTTTGCCTTCAGTTTCCCAATGGTCAAGTGAAGCAATAACTCCATCCTCACAGGGCCTCTGTGAAAGCTCAATGAAAAAAATGTGTATGATGTGCCTAGCATAATACTCAGCACATAGTTTTTCCCCAATGTTTGTTTGTTTCTTTGTTTTGAGAGAGAGAGCGAGAGCACAGGGGAGGGGCAGAGAGAGGGAAGAGAGGGGGGAGACAGAATCCCAGTACAGAACCCAATACAGGGCTCGATCTCACGATCCACCATTGAAGTCATGACCTGAGCCGAAATCAAGAGTTGGATGCTTAACCAACTGAGCCACCCAGGCACCCTTACTCAGTACATAGTAAATAATGGTTGAATGAATGGGTAAATAGGTGGTGTGGCAGTGGTTGAAGAGATAGGAAAAGAAAAACAAGGAAAAGATTATTCTTTTCCAACCCCAGATGAAAGGGTTATTTCCCTTGTTTCCCCCTCATTACTGAGAGATGAGGGGTTATTTCCCCCTAATCACTGTGCCTCCCACTCAGGGACCCCAAATTACAATTTACAACCCTCTAACTCAATGTTGCATGCTCAGTCCCCTTTAGCCCTTCCCACTTTCCCCATTGTCTTTTCATTCTATGTCTGAGTTCATCTCCCTCACCAGAAGTCCTTGGAAAACAAGGATCAGGATGGATTAATACCTTTGGCTCCTCAGTGCCTGGTACAATGCCTGGCACGTAAGGAATGGCTCTCATTAATCATATGTGAAGTAGAAATATAAAGGACAACGAGTCTGATGAAAAGACAACCTACTAAATGAGAGAAGATATTTGCAAATGATATGTCTGATTAGAGGTTAATAGCCAAAATATAGAAAGAACTTATAAAATGCAACACCAAAAAAATGAAATAATCTGCTTTAAAAAATGGACAGAAGGGCACCTGGGTGGCTCAGTCAGTTGAGCATCTGACTTTTAATTTCAGCTTAGGTCATGATCCCAGGGTCATGGGATGGAGAGCCTTGTAGCAGGCTCCACGCTAAGCATGGAGCCTGCTTAAAATTCTCTCTCTTCTTCTACCCTCCTCACACACTCTCTCTCTTGCTTGCTCTAAAATAGATAAAGTTTTAAAAAATAAAATAAAATATTGAAAATGGACAGAAGACCTAAATAGACATTTTTCTGAAGAAAATATACAGATGGCCAACAAACATATGAAAAGATTCTCAACATCACTGATTATCACGGAAATGTAAATCAGAACCGCAATGAAATATCACCTTATACCTTACCAGAATAGCTAGTATCAAAAGGACAAGAAATAATATGTGTTGGTGAGGATGTGGAGAAAAAAAGAACCCTTGGGAATATAAATTGGTACAACCACTTTATGGAGAACAGTATGGAAGTTCCTCAAAAAATTAAAAATAGAATGCCATATGACCCAGTAATTGTATTACTGGCTATTTACCCAAAGAAAATGAAAACACTAATCCAAAGAGACATATGCACCCCTATGTTTATTGTAACATTATTTACAATAACCAAGATATAGAAGAAACCTAGGGGTCCATCAATAGATGAACAGATAAAGAGGATGTGGTATATAAATGGAATATTACTCAGCCATTAAAAAAAGAACGAGCTCTTGCCATTTGGGACAGCATGGATGAATCTAGAAAGTATTATGCTACGTGAAATCAGTCAAAACAAATACTATATGGTTTTACTTACATATAGAACCTAAAAAACAAAACAAATAAACAAACAAAAAAGCATAAAAAGACTGATAAATACAGACAACAAACTGGTGGTTGCCAGAGGGGAGAGAAGTAAGGGATGAGCAAAATGGGTGCAGGGAAGTGGGAGGAACAGGCTTCCAGTTATGGAATGAATAAGGCACAAGGAGGAAAGGTATAGAATAAGGAATAGACCCAATGGGATTGTCATAATGCTGTATGGTGACGGATTGCAGCTACACTTGTGGTGAGCATAGCATAACATAGAGAGTTGTCAAATCACTATGTTGTACACCTGAAATTAATGTAACATTGTATGTCAACTATATTTCAATTTAAAAAAATAAAAGGAGCAGATTAAAAAAAAACAAGATGAATAATACATTCAGGGTGATCATGGGCTCTATTTTAACTCAAAGACATCCCATTAAAAAAAATTCTTTTTCCCTGGTAGCAATTTTCTATTTGGGGCCAATGACTTGGTTTATTCAAAGACCTTAAAGTGTTGTCAATCTGAGCCAAAGAAGGTTCAGAAAGCCTTTTCTTGGCAGGGACTCAATCCTTTCTATTATGTCCGTTTCTTTAAACAAAAAAGGATTATAAAAAATCTTTTAAAATTGATTCTCTTGTAAACACTCAAAGAAAGAATGTCAGTCCTATGGCTGGGGTAATTGGCTCTAAGAATAAAGTAGAGGTGGGGGGCAGGGGGTGGGGAGAAAGGGAAAGAAAAAGAATAAAGTGGAGGTCTTTTAATTGTAAAGACATAAAATGTCTGAATCTTCCCTCCTAACATATTTAGTATAATTGGCAATAATTTCCCCCTCCTCCACTCCCTGATTGAGAGACAGCTCACTTCCTATTAGAAGAAAACCAGATCACTAACCTGGGAACCTGAGTCTTGGAAAGAGTTTATTTTACTAGAACATGCTTCCAGAGGGAGCGGAAAGCAGGAAGCCTGCATTTTCTCTCTGCTTCAGTCCACCTGGTACCTGGACTTACCACCGTGTTTGTGATTTGCCTCAGCTTTCCCCCTTCCTCTTGGGACACTTTGCAGCCTTCGAAATATTTGGGCAGATGCTTCCTGTGGAAAATATTCCACACGGCTGCCCTCTGTTATGTGGGTTTCTGGTTTGAAGCTGAGCCCCGTGTTGAGATAGTAGGAGGTATATTGTACTTGTAAGGGATCTGTTAGAATATTAGAAGATTCCTTAGAAATTTACTTGCATTGCCAACAACTAAAACCTCTTTTTTTCTTCAGCAATCAAACTTTGAAATTTGTTAAATTCCTGGCCCTGCCACTTATTAACTGTAGAATTTTGTACAGGTTGCCTACCATCTCTGAAACTCAATTTCTTTTTCTGAAAAAAAAATTTGGGGGGGAAATAACAGTTTCCACCTCCATGGGTTGTAATGAGGTAGAGAGAAAAGGTATGTGAAAATCATGGCGCACAGTGATCACTAATAAATTATAACTGTTATTAACATTATACCCTGGAGCCAAAGGGTCAGTTCTGCCCAGTTTTTGAGCCAGTCCTGCGTGGCCAGTGTAGGGGTAGACTGCCTTCCCTCTACCAGCAGTTGGGAC